AAAATAATAAATAAAGGGGAAAAACTCACGAAACAGGAAACAAGAAGTCCAAGTTCCATTGTGTCCCACAGGAATCACCCAGAGAGAGCGCACCTGGGTCCCAGGGAAGCCACACCTTAACTAAGACCCACCTCTTAAAGATAATTGGCTAACAACTTTTTTTCCCCCATCATATTCCCATCTGTTTGACTCTGGCTGGCCCTCCAAGAGTGGAGATGCTTTTGTCCTGGGCCTTTGAGTGGAGACTGGGTGTAAAGTCACAACTCTCCTGGGTCTCCAGATTTGCAGATTTGTGAATGTAACATGTTACCTTCGCACTAGCCAATCTCCTGTAATAGTCACAAGACATTTGCTGCACCCTCACTCACTCATACATACATACATATAAGCCAGTGTCACATAAAATACACACACACACAGACACAGACACAGACACACACACACACACACACACACACACACACAGTCTTGCCTTTGCTTGCTAGGTCTTCTGACTATCTTTCACCTTCTTTTGCAGACCCAAGAAACTTGTACAAAGCTGGGCTCACTGGCCACATTTGACGACTGTGGCACAGTGATTGCCTGAGACTAATCTAAATTTACCCAAGTGGCCTGGAGATGTCAATCCAGAAAGAAAATCAGGAGTCTACCAGCAATGAAGGAGGAGAGGGCCAGTCACCTAGCAGCAGAGGGTATAGTCTAGGGCCTGATTGCCCAGAAGACAGGAGTGACAGGGCCTAGAGAGATCCAGTGGAGGATCTGCTCTGTGAGGCCACTCCCTGAGTGTCCAGTGTGGCTCTTGAGCCTCTCTGACTCTAGATGTGTGGATAGGGGGAGGGTCTGAAGGCAAATCCTGCCATCTAGTCCTAACTGACACGAACATTCTCCCTGCACAAAACAAGCGATGCCTGGAGTCTGCCTAATCACGTTAGTTCTGCAATTCCTCCCCCCAACACACACACACACACACATCCCTGAACAAGCCCAGAGGTGCTGTTGTTCTGTGGGAAGTGAGAGACAGACACATTATCGTCTCTGGGAAATAGGCTGTAAAGATGAGCTTTCACAGGAGATGGGTTCATTGTCTCACGCTGGATGCTGCAATGGACAGGAAATACACGGTCTCTTTCCTTCAGGAGTGTATATTATGCTGTATGAAAAACCTAAACCTAATCAGGAGGACTTCCTCAATGCCATGCATTTGATGACAACCTGGCCTATTGCTGTCATGTATGCCCACAACAGCACAGTGACATTGATGTGTGCATTCTTTTGTTCTCTCTGTCTCCTTCTCCCTAACTCCCTCTCCCTTCTCTCTCCTTTCCTTCCCCTCCCAGAACTTAATCAATCCAATATGAACGGTGCTGGATTCACACCGGGCTCCCTCTGACATTGAAACCTTGCCCTCAGCGTCTGGGAAGGACACATCCACCAGACTGAGACTTGTTAGAGAGAAGGGCAAACAGCAAAGATCTTCTGAAAGGAGAGCCGCCCATGGAAGCTCACCTTGAGCCATGAGCAGAATTTATTATATGCCTTCTTTCCTCTCTGAGAGCCAGATAGAGAGGCACAGGAGGGGGACAATGAATCTTCCAAGGTCAGGCTACAAGTCACCAGTCAAGCCTAGCCTGTCACTCAAAGTTCTTAATTTCCAGCTCCTGGGCTCAGCTGAGGAAGCACCATGGCGGAGCTCTGTCAGCACAAGGCTGGAGTAAAGCAACTACCTGCGGGATTTCCCTTCTACCCCCTCACTCCACAAACAACCTTCTCGTTGCCCCTCCTGCCAATCCATAAACCGACCCTGGAAATGCCAGCATGGGAACATCGCATTGACCATGAGGGACTCGGTCAACTTCTTTGCCTTCTGGCTGTTCTAAACAAACAAAGGGCAGCGCACAAGTTATTAGTAAATACCAAGGCTTAGTTTATTGTATAAAACTTCAATCCAACAAATAAATGAGCCATCAAGTTTGAATTTATGTAGCATTCAAAACACATTAAAGCCATTTGACCATGACAAAGGCCTTTTCCTGCCCTGAATGATGAAGCCAGCTCCACAAATACCCTTCGGATGAGACATTAAGCAGGTCCTTTCAGTTTGTCTCCAGGGACCGTCAAGGTGGAAAGGAAAGGTTGGCACTCTTTCTAAAGGACTCTTCAGGGAAAATCCCATCCTGGCTAACATCTCCTCTCTCCAGAAAAGGGTTTGTAAACCTGTGACAGTCAAAACAATGATAGCCACTCGACTAGGGGCATCCAGCTGGCCAGCTCCACACTGCTAGTAACCTTGAGGTACCCCGAAGTCACCAGGGGATGCCTGGGTTCTCACTCAAGCATGAGGAGAACACATGCTGGAAGATTCTGATGGCTTCTGTGGCCCGTCTCTGAGCATTTTCTCCATCGGCAGAGCGGTTATGTTAACACCTCCATGGGGTGGGGGTGATGAGAAATGGACGTGACAGTGCAGGAAAGAGCCTCGATCCATTCAAAGGCGACACTGCACAGGACACCTTAGGATCACGGGACTCCATGTCTCTCATTTTAGCTACAGACAGTACAAAGTTGCCCCTTCCTGTGGGCGCCCCTGCTTGTGCCAGGAGCTCTTCTCGGGGATGGCAGCTCCGTTAATTGAGGAGAGGCTCAAGATTTGGCTCTCAGGGACTGAGTCCCATCTGATCAAGGACCGAGTCACAGTCTAAACGTGAAATGCTTTGACAGGAAGGCCTAAAGACATACAGAGTTTATGAAAGAAATTTTGCTTGCTTCCCAGTGTGCCCCAAATCCCCACTCAAATGAGGAGCCAAGAAAACCTCTAAAAATACTCTTCTAAGAAACAGCACCAAAAGAGAATTGCAGGGCCAGCAAGATGGCTCAGCAGGTAAAGACATTTGCCACACGAGCATGGAGACCTGAATTTAATCTCCACGCCCCACGTAAAGGTGGATAAGGAGAGCTGAGTCCACAAAGTTGTCGTTTGGGCTCCACAGTCTCAGTCGCACATATACCCTCACACACATTAGGGAAGCACACATAATAATAAAAAATACATCTTTAAAAACCAGTGTGCGATGAGTCTGGCCTGGGAGATACGAAGAATGTGTTCGCTCAGCCAAGAGTGTCTGACTAGTTAACCCGTGCTGGCATGGTGTTAGTTACTGAGAACCAAAGATGGGTACGCCAGGGGCCTTGCTCATTCAGAGAACCCAAGCCCGCCACCAACAGTGACACCTGCGAGCAGTCTGGTGAACAGTGGGACAGGCATCGCTTGGCGAGTCCAGTCTGCCCACGTGGTTTAAAGAGCTTTAGGCTAGGACTGATTTGTGTGTAGAAGTTTCTTGTCATTTAAGCAACTAATTCACCTGTATAAAAAAGAGTATGTAGTATGCATATATGTAGGTGGCATGTGTGTTTATACAGGCGCAAATACATGTGTGTGAGTGGAGGCTGAAGGTTGACATCAAGAGTCTTCCTCAACGGCTGTCTATTTTATACATCAGAACAGGTTCCCTCACTACAGTCCAGAGTTCACCAGCTCGACCAGTCTAGCTAGGCAGTTTGCTCTGGGGATTCCCTCTCTCTGATCATGAACTGCGCAGACAGTTGGGCTGCCATTTTGATCCCAGTATTTATGTGGGTGCTAGGAATCAAGCCGTTGGCCTTCGTGCTTATACAGCAAGTGTGTTGCCCCCTGAGCCATCTCCCCAGCTCCTGTGGTCACCTGTCTCCCTTTCACCTGCAGGACCTTGGTCATAGCCTCCTCAGGGTCAACTCGGATGACTGACATCCTTGGATGCTCCATAAGGACACTCCATATAACGTTCTGCTCGAAGGAACACTGGGCAACACAAGGGAGCTTAGGTAGCGAGGGCTGGAGGAAGAAGATGGCGAAGTGAGAGGACTAACAGAGTCCCAGGATTCCAGGGTCCTCAGCCTCTGGGGGAGAGATGAGAAACATTATGTAGTTTTCAAAATTTGGGGCTACACTTCCAACTTTGTTCCGTCATCACAACCGCCCTGAGAAACAAATATTCACGTTCAGAGTTTTCAAGGTAAATAAAGAAGAGTCAGAGTTCGCGCCTTTTCCCAGGTCCAGAACTTATAAAATCAGGATTTTGCCCCAGACGCCATCCATCCATCCATCCATCCATGCATCAGATCTTTCCAAGACATGGCCTGTCTTAGTGTAAAGTGCTCATTGGTTGTGGATGCTCTCCCATAGCATAGAGACAGGAAGGCTGGAAAAAGCAAACGTGTAAGTGAAAAGGTGTTTATACAACGTGGTTTATACAACATGAATGGATGCCATAATGGTGGTGTCTTCTGGACAACAGCCAAGGATGGAGTCTGTTTGGTTGCAGATGGCCACAGGAGGCCAATCTGAAGAGGTCCAGTTTAAAATAGCCTTGAAAGAGCCATTGAAATGGCTCTGCAGTGAAAGTACTTGGGGCTCCCACAAGTAGTCCTGTGACCGCTACGTGCGGAATGTGTGTGAGACAAGTGCATACATGCACACACACACACACACACAAAAAAAAACACTGCACAAAATGTATTAGAATAGCCTTGAAGATGAGAAAACAATAAGAGGAAAGAATTCATTGAGCAGAGGGGTTTGAGACTCACGTATCACAGAGCTGCCCGGTGGTCTAATCAAGGACAATACACCTAAGCTCTGAGACGGCAATCACCGCTGAAGAGAAACTATTGTGTGACACCCTCCAACAATTCCGAGTTGGGGCTTCCTAGTCCTAAGATTTGAAGGAGATGGTTCAAAAACAAGGACAGACAGATAGCCCCTCTCCAGATTCTTCCCAAATTCTTCATCCAATGCATGAAGAGAACACACCAGGAGTGGGTCTGGAGACCAGGCAGGACTAACCAACCGGTGACCTCCAGTTAGCCTGTTTTCTGAGCCCCCAGAAAGAGCACTACTGCTATTTACATTTTCGTGTAAATCAAACTAGCTTCAACCGAAGGGGCTGTGTAAACTCGTGTTTAATGTCAGTTTTATATTAATATTTACTTTAACAAGATTGATCGTTTACATAACAATGCATACGTAAAGTCCGGGCTCCGTTCGCGTTTACACACATTTGCATAGTGTTTACAGATTGATTGATTAGTCCGACTGTGCATAAATCCGAGTAAACTGCTCGTTGTTTGTTTATTTTCTTCCACCGGGCTTTGTAGCCTATATCTTAATAAATGGCTAAACTGAGCCTAAGTCCTCTGTTATAACCTTCACAGAAGATTTAATAATTTCGAAAAGTAATTTTTCCTGAAGAAAAGAAAAGAATGAGATGAAATCAGGGGGGCTGATTTTCCCCTTAATCTTCAGTATTGAATAGTTCAAAAGGAGGACATCAACTTAAACTGGATCTAACAGAGACAAATCCAGGCCAGAGGGAAATCTAGAGTCAAGCCTCTGACCTTGGCCCTTGCTGAGGCTTTCCCGGAGAAGCTTGGCTTTGACAGAGGCCTTGACAAGAACTCTGCCGTGCTTCTACTTCCTTCCTGTGACACCCTGAGTGCCTCCACCCAGCCGAAGAATAATCTGGAGACAGTTCAGGCACGTGACAGCCAGGAAGAGGGAAGGGGTAGAACAGGATTCGGACGTGATGAAGATAGAATCGTTGAATGGTGCCTTGTTCAGAGTTGGGGACTTTCTGATCCTCCCACCAGTGGGGCTCTGTGCACCTATGAGCATTTGGTCAATCTCTTGGCATGTGACCCAGGACCCCCAGGGACATATGCAGGACTCTGATCTCTGCTCTCCGTTCCAATTCCCTTCCACTCACCAAGGGGTGCCATTCGAATATGCCCAACCCTCTGCAGAGATGGTGGGATTAAGCAATTTATCAAATGAGAAAAAATGCTTACTTTGCTCAACACTCACTATGGCAAGGGGCCTGACTATTGTTAATTGTGTTTAGGCTCAAATGCAGACAGAAGGTTAGAGCTTCGTAGTAGAAAAGAACTCTGCCTGGAGCTCATGGCCTGGGGAGTTTGGGGCAGACTAACAAGACAGGACATCCTATATGATTGGCTCTGAGTATGTATTTGGCCCCAAATGGATAGTAGGACAAAATGGTGAAAGCTGCCAGTGACTATGGAGACCTGGATATCTGGGACTGATTGTTATCAGATCACTTAGCTTCTTGGATCCATTCTGTGGGTAGCAGCTGGGACTTCTCGCAAGTCTAACAGAGAATCGTTTGGCCCTCTGGGCTCACCGTTGAAGTTCAGGGGTTGGTTTAACAGCCAGGTGGATGCAGACTACGGGTCACAGTTCTGTCTTACCTGTAAATCAGTCTTTGTCTACATGGGTATTTAATTTCTCAAGACACAAGTGCTTTACCAAATATGTCACGTTTTCCGTGGGCCTGTGTTTTCAATTTCCTAGCTAGTGTTGTGCTAAGGAAACATCTTGGCATTCTTAACTTTTCTTCTTAACTCAGTTTCATGAGTTCTGAGTGTGTCTGGAATGTTGTGTATAAACACTTTGCTGCCCTTCAGGGCTGTGTGTGTTCCATAACACGCAGCACTGGCACCCAGCCCTGTCCCCATGGGAATTCAAGTCGTCTCCAGTTTCTAGTACTCCTGACAAGATTAAGGGAGACATCCCCATGTTTGCTTCATTAAAGGCTGTCTTGGCAGAGCTCTCTGTTTGGCCAGGAATGTGGAGTCATAGGAAGTGTAGTACTGCATGGTACCCCTGCCTGGTTCTAATGGTGACAATCGACAGGGCATGCGGCTCCTCATTGCCCCACATCCTTGCCAATACTGCGTAGCACTTGACTCTCTAGTCACAAGCACAGGCTCTGGTGCCCTGAGTGCCATCTATTTTCGTGATGGCTTCACTTCAGTCTCACCTATCATAGCTAAGGCTGAGCACCTGGTCATGTATGTATTACCCTTTCCACATTTTGTTTGTTATGCCCAGATCACGGAGTCCCCCAAACGCCAACTAGGAGACCGAGTCCTGTATGTAAAAGCAAAGAACCTTTATTCAAACTTAAGCCTGGACTCTCCATCTGTCCAACAAAGTGTCTGAGAGCAGAGAGTGCCAAGCCCAGTCGGGGTAAGGCGTTTTGTTTTTTTTTTTTTTAACTCAGTAGAGGTGGGGGTGAGGGGATTGCCAGGATTCGGGACCCTGATTGGCTGACATTTGTCTAGGGGCCTTGGTAAAAGGAGAGTAAGTGAGTTCTGGGTTCGGGACTTCTGGTGGTCTTATCTAATCTTACCTAATGGACTGTCAGGGCCTTCCCTTTAGAAGTTGGCCCTCCCTGGGTGGAGTCAACTTAGGGCTTTTCCTGGAGCCCAGTGCTGCCTGCCCTACGAGGCTGCTGTGAGACCTGGGCTCCATCTATGACCAGGCTGCCCTAGGACCCACATGGCCTGGGCCCCATTACGTGTGGTCAGGTTGCCCTGGGACCCCACATTGTCTTCAGGAGCTTTCAGTTTACTCCCTTTGCTCATGCGCCCCTGGTTCTTGTTCATTCCGTGTTTATTTACTGAAGCCCTGTGATTTCTTGGTTTTGAAGGCTTTTAGGTGTTTTCTCCTAGTTGGACACCTTCTTCCAGTTTTGTTAAACAAAACTTTTCATTTTTTATAGATAAAAAACGTGTGTGTGTGTGTGTGTGTGTGTGTGTGTGTGTACATGAACATGCATGTCAGTGCCCACAAAGACGGCAAGAAAGCGCTGAATCTCCTGGAGCTGAAGGCATAGAGAGTTGTGAGTCACCCATTGTGGGTGATGAGAACCAAGCTCAGGTCCTCTGCAAGCATTGCAAGAGCTCCTAACCACTGATCCATCTCTCCAGACCTTATTCTCAATTTGAAGATTTATTTATTTATTTTATGTGTAGGAGAGTTTTGCGTACATGTGCGTCTGTGCCCTTCGCTCATGTAGAACCTAAAGAGACCAGAGAGGGCCTTGCATCCTCTAGGACTGAAATTAAAGACACTTGTGAGCTGCCATATGGATGCTGGGAATGGGACCCAGGTCTTCTACAATAGTAGTAGGTGCTTTCAACCCCTGAACCATCACTCTAGCCCCCACACTGCTAAAATTTAATAAAATTAATTCATTAATTCTTTGTGTACTTGGATGCCATTATTTTAAGAGATCCCCCTTAGCCTTAAGAAGGCAAGAATAACCCTCCCTCAGTTTCTATCAGCTTTAATGGATGATTGGTTTTGGTTTTTTGACTAGACAGCATTGGCCTAGATGTCCCTGGATCAACCAACTTGGGGTGAAGAAAAATTACACTTCAGTTTTAACTAACTTTCAGCAGATATTATTTCTTTTTAGCATATATGTGGGGCACTGAGTAGTATTAGCAGACATTGAATTTGTAACCAAAGCAAGTTAAGTATATTTTAACTTTATATCTACAGTTGGTGGAGATACCTTACATTTTTGTTTAGGCTCATCACGATTTTTAAATTACTGTAGTTTTTCAAATTTCATACTAGGTCTTATCAGTTCATGTTTTAGTTTAAAAGTCACATATTTTACTCTGCATTACTCTACATAATTGGTTTCCTTGGTAATCATATTCCTTTTTACACATTTAAAAACGCTATTCTGAGAAGGAGTGTGTAGGTGTCTTCAGATTGTCAAGAGGATGTATGGTAAGAAGATTGCTGCAGAGCTCTGCCTGCTCAGTTGGGTCTACATCTGTTGTGTGATATTTTGATCAGATTCTGACCATAAAGCTTACTTGGAGTCAGAGGGCGGAGCTAGCCACTAGCTGACCAAAATTAACCATAGAGGTTTTGGAGGACTGAGGACAGAGAGGAGACAGGAAGTAGTAAGGGGGGCTGATGGAGGATCTCAGCCCTTTCAAATGGAGAAGCAGAAGAGATAGGAGGTCACCTGTGGCTGCTCCGCTGCTTCTCTGGTCTTTTAGGTTCTTAGCCTTAATATCTGATTCCTGATTTTTTATTGATAGACAATAATTAGATAAATACATCATTTATCTGTGCTCACCTTTGTGTATGGCTTGAATCAGATCCTGCCTCACGCCACAGCAAATACCAAGAACAGAATAAATTATCTCTTTCTTGGTGGTTTTGATAGTTGTTATTACAGCATAGTTCCATACACGTTCTATCTTCCTCCAAGTCTATGTTTATTCTGTCAATATTCATTCCAACCTAAAAGTTTAAAACAGAAGCGCAGGAGTTATAAGGAGAAGTTTGCATTTGAAGTTTTAGGCTCATTTTCTCTTTTTTATTATCACATATTAATTCACCCGAGAGTTTATTCTAATATTTAGAACTTTTCAACTGTTGATGAAAAGACACAGTCTAGGACTGTTGGTTTTGGATGATATTTTGCATTCTTTACCTGAAATTGACAAAGTTTTGTAAAAACTTTTTGTTGTTGTTTGGTTTTTTTTTTTTAAGACAGGATTTCTCTGTGTAGCCCTAGCTGTCCCAGAACTCACTCTGTAGACCAGGGTAGCCTCAAACTCAGAAATCTGCCTGCCTCTGCCTCCCAAGTGCTAAGATTTAATAAAGGGTCATTTAGCAAGCAAAGGTCTCACAGACCTAAACTGTTCAGCTCTGCCCTTGAAGGAAAGCAGTCATAGATGATATAAGAGCAGAAGAATTTAGTTATATTCCAGTAAACTTTACTTCCACAAACAGACTGGCTAGGGCTGGCCCAAAGCCAGTTAGGCAACCTCTGTTCTGTACCACTTGGGGTCTTCCTCACCTTACATAAGGTTAAGAATCTTGTGAAACTCAATAAAATTTTCATCTTCAATAAATGATCTGGTCATGGTGTCCTCATTTGATATCCCAGCATGTTGACAGAGATTTCTGTTCTGCCCGGTCCCGCAGCCATTCTGTCCTAAAGAAACACACAGAAGTCTACATTAATTATACACTGGTTGGCCTATTAGCTCAGGCTTCTTACTAATTAACTCTTACATCTTACATTAACCCATTATTCTTGTCTGTGTTAACTACATGGCTTGGTACCTTTTACCAGCAAGGCATTCTCATCTTGCTTCCTCTGCGTCTGGGTGACGACTGCAGACTGAGTCTTTTCTCTTCCCAGAATTCTCCTATTCTGGTTGCCCCACCTATACTTTCTGCCTGGCTACTGGCCAATCAGCATTTTATTAAACCAATACAAATGACAAATATTTATAGGGTACAAGACTATTGCCCCACAACACCAGTGTTAATTATAATATATTACAGGTTAAAAAGTCATAGTCTAAATGGCCAGTGGTAAGGACATCATTAAGAAAACCGTGGCAAATCCAAATAATACAACATGACACAGGCACCTAAGGTGTTTGGGGAAATCATTGATAATGTGCACATGCTTTTGCTATAATTATAACTTGACATTAGAACAAAAATAATACATATAAGGTATAAAACATAAAGTTACAAATAGATAGAATGTTGGGCATGGTGGTATATACCTGAAATGGCAACAGTCGGGGTGTTAAGGCAGTAGGCCTGTGACTTGGGGACCAGCTACATAGTGAGACCCTGTCTAAAAAACTGAAATGGAGTGAAGTAAAAGCCTCAGGTGGAAGGAAAACTGTTAGGTATATCAACACCTGTGAGCATATGCAGCTAAAGGCAGCTTTTACTTCCTTCTGAATACTTCCCTATGTTCTTTATAATTTCTCCGGTGGGGTTGTATTATTTTTGTAAGATGTAGACCCGGGGGTCTCAAATGAGGCCACACAATCCACAGTGTTTATGCAAGGCAAAAAGTTTTACTTTTGCTGAAGACTGCATAGCTATGCTGAATCAAGCAAGTAAGCACACCCTGTGGGGGTTCCTGCTGGGTTTTTATTCCTAAAACAAGGAGGTTTGGTGCCTTCCTGAGTGGTCAGAGCTCTGCCTGGACTCTTTCAGGACTGCCTAATACAGAGGTACAGTGCCCAGAGAGGAATGAACTGAGAATTTGTTTTGATTTCAAGAAGTGCTGACCCTAAAAAATTGGAATTTTTGCCAAGTGGCTTCTTTACAATTTTTTTTAAGAATGGAATTTTGTGTTATTCAACCCTTTGATAGAAAAAAAAAAGACAGACCCTTGTATTTCCCAGTTTTAACTGAAAAGCAAATCTAAAACTGTTTACAGAATCACATTTTTTAAACTGTCTGCAATTATCGATACCCTTAACCTTAGGAAACATCAGGCAGATAAGACAGCGGAGGCTCACTTAGTCACTTCCTCAGAACTCATGATAATTGGGGACAAAGCAAAACTATTTATGACTTTAATCTCTGAATGGAAGACAGCAAGTAATTGTTAATGAATAAATATTCTAGAAACTGATTTATGAATGACTGGGCTCTTATCAGGACAGTGCTAGGATGTGAGAATTCTTCAAGGGCTCTCTGATAAGTTTTCTTATAGCTAATCTATCAACATCCCCATTTTATAGACAGAAAATTGAGGCTCACAGTTCCTTATAACATTGTTCGAGCTCCATGTATCCAGAAATCATGGAGATAGGTTGCAAAGTTGAGGCATTTCTCTTCTCTTACCTGAAAACTACTTGTAGGATCTCAGTGTTTCCATTTGTCGATGTGCTAGCATTCATGAGTCCCTGGGTTCAAGCCCTAGGACTGAATGAAGAAAAAAAAGTGGGACAAGTGGTTGCATTCATTCACTAATGCAGTTCTCAACACTTCTCTGCAGTCAGACTTGGTGTTGCTCTGCTTCTGTCCGTTTCTGCATGGGCTCTTTCTTTCTGTCCATTTCTGAACAGGCTCTTTCCTTCTGTCTGTTTCTGAGCAGGCTCTTTCCTTCTGTCTGTTCCTGAATGGGCTCTTTCCTTCAAGACTGTCTCACTGGTACATGTTACACTAGCTTACACAAGAAATCCTCTCCTTCCTCCTGGGGGTTCCCCTCTATGCCTCACTTTCATCTGAATTACTGAGCTTGTATCTTTCTGGAGAGCAGCGTGATGGTTGCCTGGGGAGCTTTGACCTTGGAGATATTCCCGTAGAAGGTACCTTCTGTCCCCAAGTAAGTACTATGGGTGGTCCTTCTGTCTTACTCTTGAACATCCATTGCTTGCTTTGAGGTTCGTCCAACCCACCTGCTTAGCCCTCACACTATGTCCTTTGCCCTCATTGTTTTCTTTGAGAATCTTCCAATGGTTGAGCTGTCATAATTCAGACTTCATAACTTGATAGCATTCCCCTCTCAGCAGGTCCCACCAAAGTCTATATCTAACACTGTCCTGGCTAGTTTTATGTCAACTTGACACAAGTTAGTCATCTGAAAGGAGAGAGCCTCCCTCGATTGAGAAAATGTCTTCATAAAGTCTAGCTGTAAGGCATTTTCTTAATTACTGATCAATGAGGGAGGACCCAGCCCATTGTGGATAGTGCCAACATTGGGCTGGTGGTCCTGGGTCCTTTAAGAGAGCATGCAGAGAAAGCTGTGGGGAGCAAGTCAGTAAGCAGCATCCCTGCATGGCCTCTGCATCAGCTCCTGCCTCCCGGTTCCTGATCTGTTTGAGTTCCTGTTCTGGCCTCCTTCGATGATGGACTACAATGTGGAAGTGTAAGTCAAATAAACCTTTCCTCCCCAACTTGGTTTTGGGTTTTGGTGTTTCATCAAAGCAAAAGAAACCCTAACTATACACACCTTTAATCCCAGCACTCGGAAGGCAGAGGCAGGTAGATCTCTGTGAATTTGAGGCCACTCTAGGCTACAGAGTGAGTACCTGGATGGCTCCAAAGCTACACAGAGAAACTCTGCCTCAAAAAAAATCAAAAAAGGAAAATGTCTAAGTAAGACAAGTTAGTAGTGCCAGGATAGTGGGGTATTGTTGTGTGTGACAGTGTGACAGACCTGACCGTGTTGTTTGGGGTAAGATTGTGGGAGGATTTTGGAACTTTGGGCTAGAAAAGTCATTGAGTATTGAGTGTTCATTGAGCTCTTCTGTAGGAACTTGGAAGGTAAAAATGTTGAAACCCGGGCAGATGATGGAGGCCTGGCTTGTGGAGTTTCAGAATGAAGCAAAGACTGAGCCATTTGGGTGAAGAATCTGTGGTGTCTGGTCAGCTAGAGCTGAAGACTTGGCTGTAATTAACAAGAGACTACAACCACTCTAGTCAAAACCTTTCCTTTGCCGGGACAATTGATGCCAGTTAGCTAGAGCAGAGAGGTCTGTGGTGATCAAGAAAAGACAATCACTGAGGTGAAATCTTCTGGGAAGTGTTTCTCGAAAGTCAGCACACAAAAGCTGTGTTCCTGAGGCAGCCACGGTTGTGCATCCTGCTGACGGCTGAACTTGGTATTGTAAGAGTCACCCAGGTGGTGCTGGTCTTGAAGGGATGAGAGGGTCGCAGTAGAAACAGTAGAGAGGGACATACAATAGAAACACTAAGAGAAACACCTACCCACGTACTGCCTCACCCGTGTGATCTGATGAATAGTTTTCTTCCTAACACTTTATACTATTTCACATAATTCATTTCTAAACACATGGTTTCTATTGTACCTCAAGAGTATCTGTTCTCTGTGGACAGAATTCCTGATCACATTTATCAATATAGTTCTGATTCCGGGTTCCAACAAAATCCTCACCGAAGAGTTGTTGAATGAATTACCCTTATTATCTTCCCAGTAACTCATGAGTCAGATGCTGGTCCAGGACTCTCAGACTCTGGGAAACTAAATGATTTGCCCAAGTCCCACAACTAAAACTTGGGGAGTACAGACAGGGTTTGTTGTTCATTGTATTATTTCAAGACCTCCTACTGAATTTGCTGCTGAGGGAAAGAGTCTCTCCCTCGGGCTTAGAAACAGTAGGATGCCTGACTCCTGATAAGGGATAGATGACAAGTGTGGCTTAGTCACAGGTACTCAAAGGGAGCACTGTGGTTGTTGGCATTCACTGCCACCTTGACTGACTTTGGAATCACCTAGGAGACACAGTTCTCTCTTTGTCGCTAAGGAAACTCCAGAGAAGCTCATCTAAAGTCCCTGCTTGAATGTGGATAAGACCATCCCATGAGTCAGGGTCTCAGACTGAATGAAAGTTCAGCAAGGTTAAAGAGAACCCAGCACCGCCAGCCATCTGCCTCCCCACTCCAGAGACAACGTGGCCAGTCTTCTCATGTCTCACCAACGTGCCGTCCCCGCCATGATGAGCTGGACCACCAAACCTTTCCTCAAACCTCGTTGGTTAGTTACATTGTCACAGCAGCAGGAAGTGAGTCACTGACCTGTGCCAGTTTTCATAAGGAACACACTTTGAAACAGGGAGCTATGGGATTCGTGGCATGAGGAGGTGGTGATGACTTCATTCTACGTGATTATATATATGGTTGTCTTGTTTGGATAATTCTGCAGGCTGACAAGAAAGGGAAACTCAGAAGTCAGGGACCAGTCAGAACTCCTCTTGGTTCATTTCATGAGAAAGTTGCTAAACAGACCTTATTTGTAGGAAGAGGGTGGTAAGGGGAACCTGTGGTTAGCCCATTTGAGGCCCTTTCCATTTCACCAGAAATCACAAGACACTGTGTTTGGGATTAATTTTAGGCCTCACATCATTTCCTAAACACTACTGAATGGAGGACATAGAAACCAGTAGCCCGAGACTCAGTAGGCAAGTTGACTGAGGTGACCTGAAATGAAAAAGGTTAGCCAGCATCCTCAGACCAAAGAGCCTGGCTCTTTCCAAACTGCATGGCAATCCTCAGGAGAGAACTTCTCATTCCAAGGTATTGCAAGGCTGACAGGGCCATCTTGTTTAAGAAGAGCCTCAAGGGCAATTTTTCAGGGCATTCAAGCTCCTGAGGAAAATGAATGTTGGCAGCCTGGTGTCCTGGAGTCACCTCAGCGCCTCACTACAAAGCCAGTGTGTTTTGCTAGTGTGATTTTAAATGCCCATAAAATCAGGTTGTGATGGCGAGAATATAATATCTTCTTGGAAGGGGGCCCTGTTTGGGGCAAAGAGCACAGAGACAACATTCCAACTAGAGCTAACTGACCCAGGAGTCCTCCAAGATCATGTGGCCTTGAATAACAACTTGACTGGAGTTCATTGAAAACAGTGGGCTCACATCTTTAATTCCAATACTCAGGAAACCAAGCCAGGAGGATTGATGAAGCTACAGAGTGACACCCTTTCTCAGCAACAACAACAAAATCCCAGCACGTTTGGCCTTCAACACTTCAGTTGCATTATTTGTGTCTTTGTTTAGATGTGTGGTTGTGTTGAAAATAAACGTATTCCATTTTCCATGGTACATGTGTAATGTCTTTGGTATTTCTTAATCTCCATATCCTTGAGGTTCAATGCTTTCTGTTCTCTTCCCTGTCCCCAGAGGAGAGGAAGTAATCTCAGAGCATCCTGGCTGGGAAAGTGTGTAGATCAACCCCCCTACCCCATCCTCCATCTCTCAGAACGCATCTCCTGGAACACTCCTCCCCTCCCTAACATGGCTGTACACCAGTTTGTACTGCCACTTGCAGGAGTTCCTTCTACTGCTGGACCCTCCTTCCTTTACACCCACCTTGCGGAACACACACAGGTTGGCTCATCACAAATCTTTCATGGCCTTGGTCTCCTCCTATTTGACCTTATTTTTGTTCCTTCTCCTCTCTATTTCCCCTCCACACTGCCTTTCTTAGCTGTTCATCTACACTCACATAGAACCTTCCTCCTCTTCCTCCTCCTCCTCCTCCTTCTCATCCTGAAAACTAGCTCTTGTAGACCAGACTGGCCTCGAACTCACAGAGATCTACCTACCTCTGCCTCCCAAGTACTGGAATTAAAGGCGTGCGCCACCCGTGCCCGTTAACCCTACTCTTCTTATGTCCTCCTCCATGCTTAGGGACTCTACCTGAGCTGATGGTAGAACAGACTGCAGCACCAACTAAGAGGACCACACATGTCTATCTCATTTCCTAGTTGTTTTGAAATCTTACCCTTCAATCTCATCCCCTTCATCTCGGTTCAGACCAACATCAATGTCCCGTTTTTGTAAATGGCCCCACTTCATTTCTTCTGCCCAGTCTAATCAGGGAATATGGAGTATCCTGGCCTTGAGTTCTCTAGTGGTTGAGTTTGGCTGCACCCTATATTGAATTGAGAAGAGCCTAAGAGATTGCAAAAACACACATCTGGATGTGTCTGTGAGGCCACTTCCTGGTTGTGGTCACTAAGGAGAGGAGAATATGGACACAACATCCTAGGGGCTGGGTTCTCTGTGGGATAGAAGGGGGAGGGTGAAAGTTGGCCAGGCAGCCATTTGTTTTCTCTGGTCACCGTGTGTGAGACACTCACTCCCTTTGGATCTGTCCTCCTTCATGGTGCACCTTCTGAAACTGTGAGATAAAGTAAGTCTTTCCTCCCTTTACGCTGTCTGTGCCAGACTCCTGGTCATGATAAAGCCCACACAGTTTCTTTTCTGGTTTCTGCACTGAAGAGGATCCCGCTCTGCTTCTTTTGAGCTGGACTTCTGCTCACAGGACCCTAAGTCGATAGTTTAAGTGGCTGCTCCCACCCAAGCCCATTGACAACTCTTTTTCCCACCTGACCTTCCCCCCAGACAGTTCTAGACCAGGATCTGGACACATGGGATCTTGCATCTCTGTGGCTTCTAGCCCTGTGAGGGCCTCTTCTCCCGAAGATAGCATTGTGGCCAGGCCTAGTGGTGTCTAGGAACAGGATGTGGACAAAGCTGGCTGGAGGCTGGGGGAGTGTATACAGTCAGGAAGCAGAGAGATAAATGCTGGCCCTTGTCTCAGTTTCTTCTTTTTGTCAAGTCTCAGACCCTAGCCTGTGACATTGGACAGTCCTCATTCATTGTAGATCTTCTCAATTAATCCTCTCTGGAAGTATTGGGACAGATACACCCAGAGGTGTGTCTTCTCGGTGACTTTAAATCAGACGAAGCTGATGATAAAAATCGATCAATACTGGAGGGGAAAGAAACCTAAAGCAGATGACTGATTATGGGCCCTGAAGGTAGAGGTAGGTCTGAGACCACTCCCCAGCTCACCCCCAGGGACCTGACATTGCCCTCAGGAAGACTTCGGATCTTAGGAGCCTATACAGTAGAGCCCAGGAAGATTCTTCTCTGCACTTTGGCCTCAGTGTGTCTCTTTGATCCCCAGAATTCATATTTGAATGCTGGACCTACGAAATAATACATTGCTTTAGCAGGTAGCATACCATGATTTCTTTCTGCTTTTTTGCTTTTTGTGCCCCTTTCACCCAGTAACAATGATACTTAAAGAAGAAACCACAACTTACCTTTGATTCTCCTTGCTCCTGGGACCGGACTTAGCATGGTGTAGATACTTGGGAGAAGGGAGCAGAGAGAGGCGAGCTGTGTTTCTGCTGGTGGATTGGCAGCACCTCTGAGAGCAATCTCGTGTCCACTGAACTGCTCTTTAAAACGCTTCAGAGAGCACTCCGACCCAGCTGAAGAGGAGGTGCCCAGCCTGCGTAGTCAGCAATGCTAGCAGGGGAATAAGAAGAACAATCCCAGGTAGCAGGTTTCTGTGGAGTCAGAAGCTGTGGGTAAGGGTGCAAAGGTGAGCTTTAGATTGATTTTCAAACACACAAAAGAGCATCTGTAGAGTTCCCAGTCTATGGACTTCCACCACGTCTTTTTCTATTGAGAGAAAACCTGATCCCAGTGTGAAGCCAGGTTAATGCGTCAGTAGATACGAGCATCGTTAGCATCCTGGTTCCACCTCTGATAACCCATACCATAGATCAGCAAACCTTTTCTGCCTGAGGACAGAAAGTCAACACATTAACCTTCAAAAGCATCAGCCACTCAACGCGGCTTTTGCAGCACTAGAGAGGCCACAGGCAACATGGAAGCAAATGACCATGGTTGTGGCCATTAAAACTTTATGGACAGGCTGGGTGTGGTTGTGCGCATCTGTAATCCCTGCACTCAGGAGAAAGAGGCAAGTGGATTTCTGTGAATTCAGGGCCAACCTGGTCTACATAGCAAGTTTGAATACAGTCAGGGCTATATAGTGAGACTTTGTCTTAAAAAATTATTAATTAAAAAATTTACTGACTAAAACAAAGAGTAGGCCGAATTGGTCCCATAGGCCACAGTTCGTCATTTCTTAACATCTGTCACCTCCTTCTTTAAACATGACAATGACAGTGTGTCCCTCCGTAGCAAACAGAAAAGTGTTGCATGAAGTTGCCTGGAAAACAAAAATGCACTGAAGCCCCGGAGGTGTGCACACTAGGAATAGCTGGTCCCATTGACCCAGCACATACTGTACACTAGGCACACTGTCGGCACCATCTGTATCAGCTAATTTTCTCATGTCTGTGAAGAGAGCAACTTGAAGGAGGAGGCGCTTACTTGAACTCTCCATTGGGAGGTAGAGTTCATCGTGGCTAAGGAGACGGTGAGCAGGAGCAGCTAGTCATACTGCATTGCAGTTAAAATCAGAGAGAGATGCGTGCCACTACTCCGTCACACTTTCTCTTTCCTTTTTTAAACTTATTTATTTTTATTTCATGGGCATTGGTGTTTTGCCCGCAGGTAGTTGTCAGATTCTGTAGCATGAGGGCCAGCTTGTTGGGGTATCTGTCCCGCCCAGTACCCTACAGCCGGCAAGCCCAAAGAAAATCACACACAAGACTCCATAAGGTTATAAACTGATTGGCCCATTAGGTCAGGCTACTTATTAGTTCTTATGACTTATCTTAACCCATTATTCTGATCTATGTTAGCCACACGGGCTCAGTACCTTTCTCAGTGTGACAGCTTACATGTTGCCTCTTCGGTGGTCTGCGCAGGAGTGGCAGAGGAACCTCCCTGCTTCCCAGAATTCTCCTGTTCTCATTGCATCACCTCTACTTCCTGTCTGGTTTTCCCTCCTATACTGCTTGCCTGGCCAATCAGCGTTTTATTAAAATATGATTGACAGAATATAGACAATTCTCCTGCATCAAGATTCCCCGAAACAGGAGTTACAGACAGTTATGAACTGCCATGTGGGTGCTGGGAATTGAACCTGGGTCCTCTGGAAGAGCAGTCGGTGCTCTTAACCACTAAGACATCTCCTCAGCCCTCACAGTTTCCCTTTCTATCCAACCCAAGACCCCATCCTGTGGCATAGTGCCAGTCACATTTAGAGCGGGTCTTTGTGTCTCAGTTAATGTAATCTTAAAGTCCCTCACATAGGATTGTTCCCTAGGTGATTCTAGATTTGCCAAACTGACACCAATCTAACCATCACACCATCTTACTCAATCCTCACAAAGACTTTGCAAAACAAGAGCTGTTATTTGTGGTCCCAGAGAGATGACCTAGCAGCTTTGAGTACTTGCTGCTCTCACACAGAACCTCAGTGCAGTGCCCAGCTCCCATGTAGGGAAGCTCACAACTGCCTGTAACTCTAGCTCAAGAAGATCCAATGTCTTCTTCTGGCCTCCAAAGACACCTTGTGCTCACATGTACACATGAATATATAGATACACACATGGATGTATACATACATACACACATACTTTGACAATCAAATAAGCACTAAACTAAAAAAAAAAAATGTTTCTTAGATAGCCAGGCAGTGGTAGTGCATGTCTTTGATCACAACACTTGGGAGGTAGAGGCAAGTGAATCTCTGAGTTCAAGGCCATACTAATCTACAGAGTGAGTTCCAGGAAAGGCAGGGATACTTGGAAAAACCCTGTCTTGAAAAACAAAATAAAACAGAAGTTACCTACTAATTGATATACTAGGAGTAAACTGAGGCCCAGGAGCTGTGATCTGGAGGTCCCTCAGGCAGGCAGAGCCTGATGTTTCCCGGCAGCTCCTGCATCTAAATGAACAGCCTCATAAAAGCAACGCAAGTGCAGGCCGGTGAAAATAAGAGAAACAACCGAATACAAACAGATTGGTAGGTGTTCAGACAACAGGCAGGACCAGACAATCTTTTCTTCACCATGTTAGCTTTGGTAGCTGGTGACTGTTGGAAGAGAGGGACTTTCCCTGGGCAAATGCCCAAATCTAAATCCTAAGCAAGGCAAGCTCTCAACAACAGGCCCTGCCAGTGGTCGAGGGAGGACTTTCTCTACAAGAGACTGCCTGAGTCATCAGGCAACCTTCCAGAACTTTCTGGGCCTGCCTAAAACCAGGCCTCAGCCCCATAGGGTGTCTGGAGCAGCCAGCACTACTTCATTGTAGAATTCCCTGCCTCTAGGAGGCCAGATTTAGCAATCTGTCATCCACAGCTGGCCTCACGGTGACACTGGGCTCGGAGAGGCAGGCGACATGGCAGGAAGCAAAGCATCTGCCGGGTTGCTGTGTCGACAGAGATTAGAGAGGGTCTCGGGGGATAATGACAGGCAGTGGCTTTCCTGTACAGTTCATGCCAGGAGGAAAGGATTAAGGTAATTGCAGAAATCCCTGGCACTCCATCAGAGTGGTAGTGGGCAATTGCTTTGTCTTGCGTGTCACCGGCTCTAGACAGCCCAGTAGAGGTGACCTACCCATGACTTCACTCTATCCCCAGTAACTCTGCCACCCTGCATAGGAGAGAGGAGTTGTAAAGGCGGTGCCTCGACTGTACTTTCAACTTCCAACGCCTTCGTGAGTTTCCATGCGGGACGAAGAAGGGAATTTCTCCGTGCCAGAGAAAAGACAGACAGTTGGTTTTCCCAAGGTTTCACATAATTGTGTGTGTGCAATGTGACAGGGGAGATAAATGACACCTAGCTCAAGTACTGCACCGGGACAGGTGGCAGGCACACGCTCGCCAGCTCACCTGTCTTTGTCATCTCCCAGGAACATCAGTTCGCACTCCCCAAGGACACGACATAGGCACAGAGAAAGCGCCAGCTTCCGGTCATTCGTTACCGTCTCAACCCTACTCTGCACTACCCTGCGCCCCAAACTCCTTCCAAACCAAAATCCAAATGGAAAGAGACAGACCTTCCTCTTCACCCCCCACACAGAAACTCTGTTAGTTTGTCTGTGTTTTGAGATCCCAGGTGACAGATAATGGAACCATTGTGGACAGACTTAGAGAAGAGGTTGTTCGCCTCTTTGTCCTTGTCCTGTGTCAAAGCATTCTGTGACATATGCTCAAATATACTAGATCAAAGGACTTTTGCTTCTACCCAGAGAAAACATCAAGTTGAAAACTATGACCAATTAGGGAAGTTTTGCAATGATGAGCTCTTGGACTGCTCAGAAGATGGAAGATCACATGAAGTCTAGAGAGTTTGGTCCAGCCTAGGGCTGGAAGTTTGGTTCCGTTCTCTGTCCCACACTAACAGCTTTCCTGTATTGATAACTCAACAGTTTCCTCATTTGTAGGGTGAGGAACAACAAAAGCGTGATCATTACATGAAGCAGGTCTCCCAGGCAACGGGCACATCGGATGAACGCCATCACCACCTCCACGTCATCCCCACTCTCACCACCTACCAGCAAGGCATCAGATAGGGCATCCATTGGCACTCCCAAGGAAGCAGATCAATAGGAGACACGGGCACTTGCTATTATGAACGATGTAGATCCACAAAGAGAGATCCACTTTAAGGAATTAGCCCACAGAGTTATGGAAGGCGATAAGTGTAAAATACTAAGACTGAACAGCCAGGTGGAAGTTCAGCCACTAATTCATTCCATCGGAAACCCGAAGTCAATCTGGGGGGGAAAGGCCTTCATCTCTTGAAGATCTCTGTCTATGTGTGTGTACATGTTTTGTGTTGTGTTGGTGTCCCCACATGTGTGTGAGAGTTGGTGTGCGTGTGTGTGTGTGTGCGTGTGTGTATATGTGTGTGTGTGTGTGTGTGTGTGTGTTTGTGTAAATGTGGAGAGGCCAGACATTAAGTCTTCCTCATTTCTCTCCACCTTATTCTTTTGAGATAAGTTCTTCAACTGAACCTGGAACGCCAAGATCCAGCTAGACTGGCTGTGACTCTCAGGGATCCATCTGTCCGTTTGTTCTCCATGTCATGTCTACAGATTCCCACTATGGGTCAAACTAGGTCCCCATGCTTACATGATATTGGGGTTTGGATGCCAAATGCCCACCACAGGCTGTTGTGTTTGCACACTTGATGCCAGCTGGTGATATTGTTTGAGACCGTTAGGGAACCTTTGGGAAGAGACTCGCTGAAGGACATGGGTGACGGGGGTTGGACTTGGCAAAGCTTTGTCCTGACTCACTGTTCATCCTCTACTTCTGACCTCTGACGCGCTGTGACCCACTGGCCTCCTGCTGCAGGGACCATCCTTTCCCTCTGTGATGGACCCCTTGGAACTGTAGGCACCGCGAGCCATTCCGGCTCTTGTTCAGTCAGATAGCTGTCTCTTATCAAGAAGGAAAGTAACTACCACACGTGACGAGTGCTCTGCTGACTGGGTCAGCTCCCCAGACCCTCGGTCTTTTTCCTGACGGCTTTCTACTGATTAGACAAGGCCTGCCGGAGAGTAGGAAAGTCTTAAAGTCTGCTGATTTAAATGTTGATCCCGGATAATAGACACTATCTCTGCAACATCTGCACCGGTAATTGACAGAACAGCT